AATGCTATTTATACAAGCTGCCCTCAATTCCCTAAGGCGGTTTTTGTGTCTGAGGCACAGTTTGAGTGCGGGCTTTGGGGACAGTGCTCTGAAGGTTCTCATTGGCACACACAGTCCCTTGATCGACCTTCCCATGTTGTCACTCTTTAAAGGTTGAGGTTCACTGCCTCTATCACACTGTTTTATTATCTCACTAGACCAAGTTCATTTCAAATGTACTCAACACAACACAGTCTGGTGCCAGCTTGACACTACCCTTTGCCTTCTCCCTCCCATCCCCAGCAAGCTGTGCCCTGAGCTGTATCATAGATCCACTCAGCTCAGCCTCCATCACAGGACACACGGCAAATATGGGTTCGGTACACATCAATCAGAATTCAGTAGCGCCTCTGGGGGAGGGGCAGAAATGGCATATCAGTTGAGAACCAGTTTCCTCATTCTTGGAAAGGAGCCATCAGGTGAGAGTTGGAAAATAACTTGCAGTCTTTTCTGTCCGTGACTGCCTTATTGTACTTGCTCTTCTGGACATCTCTCTTCGTGGCCGCCTTATCATTCTAGGCACCGTATTGTTAGGTCCTAGTTGTTAAGAATCTAATCATCCTCACGTTCCCAAGGAAATACATCCCCCTTCCCAACCCATGTGTCCTCATCTTCCAGGACATCTGACTTGAACCATGATGTCATTACCTCACTGCCCAATGCTGCATTCCCCAGTTAAGCTCCTTCTCTTCTCAGGGTGGGTCTTTCTCTGAACTTTTGAAAGAGCATAACCCTGGGCAAAGTGTTAGTTCTACTTTATTATGTAAGAGGCCAGCAGAGCAAGTTCGGGATCTTTGGAAAAACCTTAAGTTTAAAAATGACAATTCTCAAGTAAATAGTAATTTTATCAGCATATTTTAGTTAACATGGCTTTTTTTTTTAGAACTTTCATCAAATTCTCAATAGAGAACATGAAGTATACTCAAGTGTCATGGGTTTTTGTTTTGTTTTGGTTTCTTCTGTTTAATTTCATGGGCTTTGATTTTTTTTTTTTTTTTTTTTTTGAGACAGAGTTTTGCTCTGTTGCTCAGGCTGGAGCACAGTGGCGAAATCTTGGCTCACTGCAACCTTCGTCTCCCAGGTTTTAGCGATTCTCCTGCCTCAGCCTCCTGAGTAGCTGGGATTACAGGTGACCGTCACCATGCCCGGCTAATTTTTGTATTTTTAGTAGGGGGTTTCACCATGTTGGGCAGGCTGGTCTCAAACTCCTCACTTCATGATCTGCCTGCCTCAGCCTGCCAAAATACTGGGATTACAGGCGTGAACCACCATGCCCAGCCGTGGGCTTTGATTTTTAAAGATAGAGCTGTTCTTTTTCCCCCCAAAGAAATAGCAGTGCCTTCACCTCCAAGTGATATTTCAACTTGGAAACACATGGGGAAGAAATGAAAATTGTAATTATTTTTCAAAAATATAAGAGGAAAAGATGCAATTTTAAAATCAACTTTAAAATTTAAATTTTAATTACTATTGTTTATCTCTAATGATGTTAAATATTTGCCATTAGAGCTTTACTGTCTGAAAAACTGTTGCACCATATTTTCTTAAAACTAGGTAAATCTCAATGACCATTTATAAGACTATCATAGATTATATTCCCTGGAGAAGAAACCAAGAGTCCGGTGTGGAACTAACCCACGTCGCCACGTACACCCTTTTGGAATAGGTGAAATCCTAGAGGATTTTTCTCTGGGGACTTGGCTTAGGTTTCAACCACAGGTAGTAAATGTTTAGTAGTTAGCTAATTTTTTTAATGGCTGAACATTAATTAATGGCTAATTGTAAAAGCCAATACTTACATGGCACTTACTGGGTTACATGTATATGGTGCTGTTCTAAGTGCTATACATACATATATATGTTGTGTAATCTTCACAAAACCACCAAAAGGTGGATTCTGTTTTTCACAGATGAGAAATCTGAGATCCAGAGAAATGAACTAACCCAATGTCACACAATTACTAGGTGCAAGAGCTGGGATTCACTCCCGTGGAGCTGGGCTCCATGGTCTTAAATACCGTACTTTAGTACCAGGATGATTTACTACAACTTCTCCCACCCAAGGACGATCCTCCCTGTGTGATACAATGAATTTTCATGAAGGAGGATAGGCCGGGTGCTGTGGCTCACATCTGTAATCCTAGCACTTTGGGAGGCAATGGCGGGTAGATTGCCTGAGCTCAGGAGTTTGAGACCAGCCTGAGCAACACAGTGAAACCCTGTCTCTACTAAAATACAAAAAATTAGCCGGGAATGGCAGTGTGTTCCTGTAATCCCAGCTACTCGGGAGGCTGAGGTAGGAAAATTGCTTGAACCTGGAAGTCAGAGGTTGCAGTGAGCCGAGATCGAGTTACTGCACTCCAACCTGGGCAACAGAGCGAGATTTTGTCTCCAAAAAAAGAAAGAAAAGAGGATAGATGGAAATGGCTGAGAACATAAGAGGACAGAATGAAGGTGGATGTGATTTATTTAAGATTTCTCAATGAGGCGAGCAGGAAAAAATCCATCAGCACGTTGTGTTATACTTCTTGCCATTGTGCCTTCAGTTTATAACCGATAAAACACCGACTTCTAGCTGCAATTTCTAGACTCTTAAGGGTTATCACCTCAAAATAACCTTAATTGAACCAGAGAAGGATGTACTCACATTGCAGGCTCACTGTGCCGCAGGTAACAGGATGGTTTAATTGGCCAAGCTCTCACCTCTTCAGTGCACCAAAGACTTGAGGTTTAATGAATGGGTGGAGGAAGGATAAACATGGCTTAACACCCCAACCAATCAAGAGGTCTGTTGGCCAGCTCCTCCCTATCCACCTCAGCCTAGGGCAAGCCAAGAATTCCGGCCCTGGCTGGGGGTAATGGAGATGGATCACTAAGCTGGACGGACACCTGCTGTTGATGCTGCTGACACACGTGTTGGGCATCCTCGCCTGAGGCATTTTTTCCTCCCTTTCCACTGGCTGGAAAGAAAGGACTGGGCAGGGCCCTGCAGAGGTTGACTTAACCCACTACATTGAGCTGATTGTGTTGGGCAGTTTGTGGAAGAAATTCTGTCCCATGTTAATTGATGCTCTTCTTGGGACCCAATTCCAGGACTGTGACTTCCAGGACCCAATTACAACGACAATCTTAGGTCGCATACTTAAAATTGGCCCACGTTTTCTTTTCTGAGAATAGAGAACCCATCTCATGTTCAGAAATGACCTAATGTTTCAGCCAAGCACGGTGGCTCACGCCTGTATTTCCAGCATTTTAGGAGGCCGAGACAGGTGGATCACCTAAGGTCAGGAGTTCAAGTCCAGCCTGGCCAACATGGTGAAACCCCGTCTCTACTAAAAATACAAAAATTAGCCAGGCATGTTGGTGGGTGTCTGTAATCCCAGCTACTCGGGAGGCTGAGGCAGGAGAATCACTTGAAACTGGGAGGCGGAGGTTGCAGTGAGCCGAGATGGCACCACTGCACTCCAGCCTGGGCGCTAAGAGTGAAACTTTGTCTCAAAAAAAAAAGAAGAAGAAGAAGAAAAGAAAAGAAGTGACCTAAAGTTTCACTTTGACATTTTGGAATAATTTGCAAGGATTTCGATTAAATAGCAAAATCAAAAGAGAAAGGGGAGAACAATCAGTCGGTTGTGTGTTGTTTTTCCCACCCCTTTATCTGAGGGTGGTCTGTTTTCTGAAACTGTGCAGAGAAACAAGAATTATTAGTTTGAAGGCTGTATCCAAACTCTAAATTTAAAAACATGATTCATCATCTTGGAGGATAATGACCTGTCCACCTGTAGATTTATATGGACTTCTTTACAGAAGACTGGTGTGTAGAGGACTTTCTTAGAATTTAGTTTGTCTTACATCACACCCAGTAATTCAGAGCTATTCAGAGTGTTTTCCTGAGTCAGGAGCCTGTGAAATGAAAATGCCACAACTGTCAGGGAGAACGATGAGCAAGATCAATATAAATTGCAACAGTTCGGCCAGGGGGCACTGAGGACGTTTATTTAGCATTCTATGTCTGCAAAAGACCACGTTTTCAGAAGACGTTCCAACACTGGACTACGAGTTCTCCAACACTGTAGAACTTAGTTCTCCCCCTCTCCGGCGGCCCCCCAGGGTCATGGAGGGGGGACCTAGTGATCTGTTTGTTGCAGAACAGATAGCCTAGTAAGTCATAGCAACACCAGGACCTAAAGCCATAAGGCTGTACTTAAATCACCCTGAAGATCAGGTTTCTGATATTTATATTGTTTTCATCCTTTCTTTGGTAGATGTAAGTGTAGCCAAGTACAAAGCTGTTCCATGCCTGGATAATTTTTATTGCAGCTGCAAGGCTGTGTTGATATATTCTGACACAGCAAGAATCATGATTTGTCCATGCATAGATTTAGACTGGCTTCTTTATAGAAGACGGACAAGGAGGGGACTTTTAAAAAGATTAGGCTGTCTCCTGTTGCATCCAACAATGCAGAGTATTGAAACTGTGGTCTGATTTAATCGGTCTCCACCACACTGTCTACATTTCCTTGTCATTGTCAAGTATATGATTAACATAAGGAACATTCTTTTTCTAACCTATCTTGAAAGTAGTTCAACTAACAAACAATGCGAAGTTTAAAAGCACTGATTTTTTTCTCCTGCTTTCATATGTAGCTTTTAACATGAGCTATTTATCGGCCATCAGCTTACTTCAGGGTCAGAAATGCATTCTTTTCATAACGTTCTACAGAACACACTCATAAAAAAATGCATTCTTCCCTAACGTTGTATAAAGCAGACTCATTAACTCTGCTGTCATTTCTAAGTTGCTACTTCCAGTCCACCCAAATCTTTCTGGTGAAAGGGCGCGGTGACCCTGGCAGAAGACTCTAGGATGAATGCTGGAGGGGGTCACTGCATTTGCCTCATTTCTGTTTTCTCTGCCTAACAAAGCTGACCACTGATACTGAGGCATCTTTCATTTTTGGTAGAGTTCTGGTGAGGAGGATCCTCTAACTGAACCAAGATTATCTACCAAGATATCTGCATTTAAGTGTGACTCCAAACTTCCAGCAATTGACCAAACATCAGTCAGGCAGAAACATAAAAGTACCATGACTGCAAGGAAAGCAGAGAAAGCGGGCCCCAGCAAACCCTCTCCAGGTGAGTGGCTGGCTTATTGAAATTCATAAGATTTAAAATCCTGGTATTAAAAATAATGACAACAGGCCAGGCGCAGTGGCTCTTGCCTGTAATCCTAGCACTTTGAGAGGCTGAGGCTGGTAGATCACTTGAGGTCAGGAGTTCCAGACCAACCTGGCCAACATGGCAAAACCCCTGTCTCTACTGGGGAGGCTGAGGCAGGAGGATCACTTGAACCCGGGAGGCAAAGGTTGCAGTGAGCCAAGATTGCACCACTACACTCCAGCCTGGGTGACAGAGCAAGACTCCGTCTCAAAAATAAACAAATTAAATAAATAAATATAACAACAATCAAATTGGGGGTATTGATTAAACCTAGTGTTTTCCGAATGGCTAATTCAGGTTTTGAAAGGCCAGTGATCCTATGCAAACAGTAACATTAATTTCAGAGTAGAATATAAGGTCGTAGAGGCAAGAATTATGCAACGTAACTTCCCCCACTGCCCGCATTTCTGCCCCATCATTAGTGTAGCATCAGCCTAGAGTTGCTGCCTTTTCATCTTCTTCACCCTTCTTGGGGTTAAAGGCATTTGGCCCCAGGTATCAAGTTTTATGGCTCAAACAAGAGCCTAAAGAGAAGCTTTCAAATACATCTGAATAGCATAATTTATAGTGGAGAGAGAAAGTAATAAAGTTCTCCTGTTCTGGGTTTGTCCTCTCCAAGAGAAAAGGTGCTTGATAAATCCTCCCTTTTGTGCAATTTGGAAAAATAGTCACTCTTTAGCTGCCTTTGAGCAAAGACCAATCTTCTGCTTAGGGCAGGAGTGACTTAATAGTATCCACAAAGGTTCTAAAATTCACTGAAAATTGAGCGTCTCTCGGGCTCATCGCCATCAAAGACAACAGCTATAAGACAAATTTGATTTGATACTTCCAGGAACTGAGGTTTAAGTTGGAGTAACTAGGCAGAAAGGTCTAAGTTGAATGGAAAGGATCCAGGCTAACTGCTGAAGAATTCGTCAATAGCATGCAATTCATTAAAATCCAAATCACACCTACTTGCCCATCCTAAATCGCTTCTGCTGGGCAACCACCGGTCCAGCTTAAGTCTTTGTGCCTTTTTAGAAATGGCAGCTTTCACTCAGATTTACCACCCACATTTTACCGCTTTAATGAAGTCAAAACCAAATTGACTTCTGAAGGGATGTCCTCTCAGGCAAAGCCTCAACTCTTGCATCTTATTTAATCAGGGGAGAAAGTATCATCACAGTTCATTTCTCATTTTAAAGGCTTTTGGTAGGAATTAGGCTTTTAACTCAGCTGTTTAAGGTTGAAATACAGCAGATAAGGTCATTCCATCAGTATTTCAAAATACGAGTTGTAATTTATTGAATTGAGGATGTTTTTAATGGCAAAATTTGAATTTGAATTTGAATTTAAGGGTTTTTTGTTTTGTTTTGTTTTGTTGTTTGTTTTTATTGAGACAGAGTCTCACTCTGTTGCCCAGGCTGGAGTGCAGTGGCACTATCTCAGCTCACTGCAACCTCTGCCTCCCGGGTTCAAGTGATTTCCGGCTAATTTTTGTATTTTTAGTAAAGAGAGCATTTCACCATGTTGGCCAGGCTAGTCTCGAACTCCTAATCTCGAGGATTCACCCACCTTGGCCTCTCAAAGTGATAGGATTACCTTGGCCTCCCAAAGTGCTAGGATTACAGGCATGAGCCACCATGCCCAGACTGAATTTAATTTTAAATAATGCAACCCCATCTGCACAATATAATTTTTAGCCCTCCTGCTAAAATCAGGTGGTTGTTTGCATATAGTATGCTTTCTCATGGTGGAGAAAAGTCATTAAAACGAACTGTTTAGATCCACTCAATGCTTTAGTTTGTCTGATTAATACAGATGTTCAGCAAACTCCGTATGGAACTTACAGCACTAACAAAAAGGGGAAATTAATGCACTTAACAGTCTTTAAAACATCACATTTGAAGAATTACCAGGCTGAAAAACACCAGGTTTCAGTGACAGAGCCAAGTTGGCAGAAAGATATCTATTTCATCAAATGAGGGATGTTGCTTGTAGTAAAAGCCTCTACAAACCGCCTGCTTCATCACTGCGTTATGGCCCTAGACCACGTCCAAGACCCATGTGGCCATGAGCGGGGCTGTGGCCTGGCTGTCCCCAAGCAGAGCAGTCCTGGTGATGGATGGCAGTTGCTGCAGAAGCAGAATCAGTTGTGCAGCAATCTGGCTAACAACAAAGCACTGATGTGTTAAGAACCATCCATTTTACATGTGTAGACTCACCCTCTGGGCTCCCTAATTAGCATAGCGAAATGAGAACCGAGACATGGCAAGGATTTCAGCTGAGTCCGTTCGGGAACAGTTGACCTCAGTGGCGGTCATGATGCAGTTTTCTGCTATTACAGAAAAATAGGATTTGGTGTCCGAATTAGCTGGACACGTTGATCGAATTCAGTTCCTTGCTTTTCTTCACCTCTGTAGAGAAATATTTCTCTAAAGCATTTTGGGGGTGATACAAAGTTGGCAATAAGTCATCAAAACTTCTGCCATGTCAGACCTGAGATTTTGTATGAAATTGAAGTGCCAAACACAGTGAAATTCCTTTGCAACACCCGCCTAATAGGGTATACTTCCTACACTTCCTGTGTTATACCAGACTCTCACTGAATAAGATAATATAGCCAGGGAACACGGCTTGACTCAATTGCAAATCTATGTAATGATAATCCATGTCATGAACAAAGGGTTTTTCTTTGTATGTAATCTGCCATTTGGAACCTCCAAAACAACTATGTAAAATATAGCAACTAGCAATGCCTTCTACAAACAGGTTTGTAACCGAGAAGGCATCCGATTGCTCTTCATCCTGTGAGAAGGAATTCACGCATTTAAATTAAGTTTGTATCATCTGTGAAACTGCTTCTGGACAACTGACTTGCGATGTTCCTTGTTATCTGTCTCCATGCAGTGGTGCGTGCAGTTTATGGGCAAGTGTTTTGGAGTCAAAGTGTTTGCATTTGCATCTGGGAGCCATTGATTTGCTGTCTACCTTTGGCCAAGTAATGCATCTCTGTGCCTCAGTTTCCTCACCTGTACAATGGGGAGAAGGGCTAAAAACAGATCCTGCCTGCTGAGATTGCTGTGAGAACTCAATGATGAAACATACATGCAGCCTTTAGGACAGTCCCTGCCGCTGTGGCCACTCAATTAATTATCCCATTATGATTCCTAGCACATGAGAGCAGCAGATTGTAAGGAGAATGGACTAGAAAACTTTGTTTTCTTTGCCTTAAGGTTGTCCTCCCCAAAACATCTTTTTTTCTGTACAAAAATCAGAGTTTCATTTTATTGATTGACTGATTGATTGATTGATTGATTGATCACTGTACTGAGACAGGGTCTCACTGCATAGCCCATGCTGGAGTGTACTGGTGCAATCAGGTCACTGCAACCTCAAACTCCGGGGCTCAAGTGATCCTCCTACCTCAGCCTCCTGAGTAGCTAAGACCACAGGCACACACCACTGTGCTCAGCTAATTTTTTTTATTTTGTAGAGATGGGGTCTCACTATGTTGTCCAGGCAGGTCTCAAACTCCTGGGCTCAAGTGAGCCTCTGACCTCAGCCTCCCAAGTAGCTGTGACTACAGGCACATGCCACTATGCCTGGCTTATTTTTTTACCTTTTATGAAGACGAGATCTTGCTTTGTTGCTCAGGCTAGTCTTGAAATCCTGGGCTCAAGTGATCCTTCCACCTTGGCCTCCCCTCATGTAAAGACATGAGCCACAGCACCCAGCTCAGAGTTGTATTTTTTAGAATCTCTAACATACATACAGGTACAAATATTTTACAACACTCTGAGTTTCCAAAGCAAAATGCCAAATGGAAAAAGATGAAGAATCAGACAGCATTCACCAAGCCAGAGATAGGCTTTATCTCCAGAAAGACGTGGAAAATTCCGGCAGTGAGTCAAGACCTGGCTGGGTCTCACGTGCAATCAACTCAGAAATCCCACATCATGAACACTGGTGTAGGGTGAGCTGTGAGCCTAGTAGAGTTACATGTTCTTAGTTACAAGTTCAGAATTGTAGACAGATCCTTGAGACCCAGAACAGCCAGCAGGCCCAGCGAGTAAGTGCAGACGCACAGGGACATTTGGGGACCTGCAGTGGCCTCCAAGTCCTACCTGCTCCCAAGACCTCTCCCAGCCCCATCCCGAGTTGGAGAGGAGCTGCCTCTTCTTTCCAGGACACAGAGGGGCATCCAAAGGCCACTGTGCTGTGGGGTTCTGGCACCTGGAGTCCTAATGAGCTCCCTATCCCAGGGCTAGACATGTGGGAAGCGAGCGTCTCCTCTCCTGCCCTCTGCTCTCACCTGGAGCCTGGGCATCATCCCCTGAGTTATGTGCCAGGAAGACAGATCTGGATGGAGTCCTGCGAAACTGCTTCCAAAATCTTGCCCTTTAAAACAAGGCCAAGTGTTCTGAAATTATCTTCATTTATTATCGAGTGCATCATTAGTCACTGCTGGATTCAGATTTGTAGAAGTAACAAGACTTTTCACCATAGAGTGGATTACTGTGAAGACAGGTTCTTGTAAAACTAAGAAAGCAATGCATGCAGATGTTAGACGACAAACATCCAAAATAACTATGGTCTCTTTTGGATTGGGAAATATTTATTTGAAGAGCAGCCTGAAAGAGAAATTTGAGGGCAAATCCTAAATCCTCAAAATTTGCCTTGCAAATAAATTCTCCTGAAGATTTTCTCTGAAAGGCCGAGATTAATGGCTTTCATGGCAAGTCCAATGGGTGTCCAGCAACTTTCCAAGCTACCTGCCAAGTTAGAAAAAAAAAAAAAAAAAAAAAAAAAAGGCCGGGTGCAGTGGCTCACGCCTGTAATCCCAGCACTTTGGGAGGCCAAGGTAGGTGGATCACCTGAGGTCAGGAGACCAGCCTGGCCAAAATGGTGAAACTTCGTCTCTACTAAAAATACAAAAAATTAGCCGGGTGTGGTGGTGGGCGCCTGTAATCCCAGCTACTTGGGAGGCTGAGGAAGGAGAATCGATTGAACCTGGGAGGCGGAGGTTGCAGTGAGCCAAGATCATGCCACTGCACTCCAGCTTGGGTGACAGAGGGAGACTCTGTCTCAAAAAAAAAAAACAATTTAAGTGGATATTCCCACTTTTTAATAGAGAATCGTAATTATCAGTCCAGTTATGATACATGCTCTCAAGATGGGGGCTTGGGATTGACGCAGAGCCCAGAATTAAGTCCTGGCTCCAAACCTTGGTGCTCTCTCTCTATAGCCCTATAAATGTGAGCAATGCAATCAGATTGGCATTTTTAAAAGCTGACTCTGGCTGCGGCATGGAGAAGGGGCTGGCTGAGCACGTGAGGGTGGCTAGATGCAGCCAAGAGACCAGACAAATGGCAGTTGCAGGGGACTGGGGGAGAAATGAGAAGGGCTTGAGCAGGAGCAAAAGCAGAGGGAAGAGGGGCAGGTGCAGTGGCTCATACCTATAATCCTAGCAATTTGGGAGGCTGAGATGGGAGGATTACCTGAGGCGAGGAGTTCAAGACCAGTCTAGTCAACATAGTCAGACCCCCATCTCTATTGTTAAAAAGAAAGCAGAGGAAATAGGAAGAGGGAGTGGGCTTGAGGGACATTTAAGGAAGTAAAGCTGGCAGAACTTGGTGACTTGGATGTAGGGATGAGAAAGAAAGAGGAATTAAAGGGAACTCAGGAATCTGGCCCCGGAAACTAAGCCAGTGGAGGCTGCCTCTGCCAAGGCTGAGGAAGAAGGGGAGTGTGCGTCCCCTTTTATCGTGTTGTCTTTGAGGTGCAAGCAAGGCAGCCAGGTGGAAATGCCAGGAAGCATCTGGGGACCCAGGTCTGCCGTTCCACAGAGCACTCCCCTTCCTCCCAGAGCACTTGCTGGTAGGAACCCAAGAGCCTGCAGTGAGTAAGACCGGCTGAAACTATAAGAATGTCTCCCCTGGAAGAGGGGATGGAGTCAGAAGAGAGGCGCTAGGGAAACTTTGGGAGATAAAAACGGTTAAGAGAAGAATGAGTGAAGACAGCTACAGAGAGAAATGATCCCAAGAAACAGGAGCCACTGCTGGAGCCATTTAGGAGGAAAGAAGTAATATTTACTCGAATCCTCTGTGACCTGGCACTAAGAACTGGGACCCCTCCACGATAGGCAATGGTTTTTTTTTTTTCTTTTTTTTTTGAGACAGATTCTCACTCTGTCACCCCGGCTGGAGTACAATAGCCCAGTCTCAGCTCACTGCAAACTCTGCCTCCCTGGGTCCAAGCATTTCTCCTGCCTCAGCCTCCCAAATAGTTGGGATTACAGGCATGCACCACCACGCCCAGCTAATTTTGTATTTTTAGTAGAGATGGGATTTCACCATGTTGGCCAGGCTGGTCTCGAACTCCTGACCTCAAGTGATCCGCCTGCCACGGTCTCCTGAAGTGCTGGGATTACAGGTGTGTGCCACCATGCCCAGCCTTAAGTGATAGTTTTCAACTGGCTGGCTACAACTATGGCATTTTAGACTCAGAACTGATTTTAGCTGCAGCATCTCTCAAACTTTTCTGACGATAAGAATCACCAGGGAGGTTCTTCATAAAAATAAAAATTCCTGCTTCCCGTCCCTGACCCACAGCATCAGAGTCGCCAATAAAGGGGCCTCCAAAACTGTAGTTTGAACAAGCACAGCAGGTGATTCTCATCACCAGGGTTTGGGCAGCTGTCTCAGAGCCTTGCTTTTTCCAAACGTTAGCACTCATGAGAAACACCTGGAGCTCCCGAGAACTACAGATTCTGATTCAGAAGGCCTGGGTGGGCCGAGAGCCTGCGTTGCTAAGAACTCCCAGGTGAGGTTGATGTTGCTGGCCTATGAACCAGTTTTGAAGGAGCAAGGCTAGAAAAAACACCTGTCTCATTTTGCAGGTGGGGGAACAGGTAAGTCATTAATTCAAGGTGACCCAACTGGTTAGTGGCAGAACCGAGATTTGTCAAACATGAGGGAGTCACTGTGACTCGTGACTCCACGGGGCACCCATATTCTGCCTCCAGTGAGGTTAGCAGTTTGAGCATGAGTTTAGAAAACAAATCATCAGCTTCTACTGGATATCTCTCTTTTTACCTGCTTTTCCCCCAGTTTGATTTTTCTCCCTTCCCATGATCCCCCCAGGATCTCTCTGCTTTTTTTTCTCTTTTCCCAAGCTTCCCCATCCGCAGCAGAAAGGCCAGATCAGGGCATGACTACAGTCTGCTATTGGGGGCAGCTGGAGGATTGAGGGAGAGAGCCTTACCCAAGTGAGACCCTGCGGGTCGCCATCTGTTGCTGCCAGCACAGCTCATTAGGCTGGCAGCGGGAGACAAGAAAGGCCCCAGAGCTTCCGCACGGCAGCCTCAGGACATTCTCCAGGAACTTACAGGGGAAAGAACTTCCCGACATCTGTCAGGAACACCGGAGACTGTTGGCCGGAACAGGGTGTGATGCTGGTGCTGCGGCCCTTGTTTCACTCCTCAGTGACGCTGAGATAGAGGCCAGGTGCCTCCTGGGCGGGAGCCAGGCCTGCTGCTCCGATGACATTGGAGAACAATTTTGGAGTTTGGATTCATTCGCAGACGTCTTTATGTCCTTCCCTGCCACGAGTGCTGCTTCCTGACTGCTCTTTTTCTTTTGTGCAGGTGACAGCAGCAAGCATCCCCTGTTCTGTGTTGAATACACCCCTTACTGCTCCGTCTTCGCTTTCTCCCCTGTCCTGCAGCCCAATACCAGTTACTGCTGCCTCCTCCTGCCACTAGTGCCACCTGCCTCCCCAGTGGCCCAGGAACCTCCCCGATGTCTCCCTCTAGTTACCTCCTTTCCCTCCCTCATAAGCCCCGCTTCTGCCTCCCCGGCCCCCATGCCCGAGTCCCCAGCAGCGCTCTGCTACTTCCCCATCTCCTGCCCCACTCCAGCTGAGACCCCTATCCTGTGTCTGCAGGGCCCCCGAAGGCCCAGTAAGATTTACCTCATGTGGTAAGTCGCCCTTGCAAGGCACACAGCACAGCGGAGTCAGGGAGCGGGGACTTCGGGCTTCCAGAAGGCAGGTGGAGAGGAGAGGGTTCAGAGGCAATGCCAAGAACAATACCAGGTGGTGTGGTGTTGGGGGAGCAGGAAGATGGGACAGCGTGACCACTGTACTCGGGCTCCACCTTCTAGCGCCAAAGGAGCAAGCGACCAATAAAATCTCATCCTCTCCAGAGACTTATTTTGATTTCTTACCTCCTGTAGCTGGCACGCTGTGCAGTGTCACCCCCAGAAACCAAACAGGCTCTCCTGCGTGTGATCATACCGTTGGCTCTGTGAATGTGCACACGCTGAGGCCACCCTAAGCGGTGGCGCCGGGGGCAGGCTGTTCTGAAGGCACACACTGGAACCAAAACCCATTCAGAACCACTTAGAGGAGGGACAAAAGAAAGGGCTCAGCCGGTGTTTACGTTCCCCTGCCTGCCTACTTATTAGGCATCAACCTTCCTAAAATCAAAAATTCCACCCCCAAGTTCCAAAATAAAACATATGTATGGTACATAATTAAGCTTTAATTAAGATATCCTCTGGGTATGTGAGACAACACACATTTCTCGTACACTCAGGCAAACAGAGGCGGCCTATTATTATTTGTGACTGCACAGAAAGCTGCCTATTACCCCAAGGCAACATTGGCTCCTGCGATTAAGCTGTAATTCTTCCCAGGATCCAAAGAAAGCACATTTTTTTCAAAGAGGTGTCTCTCCAATGGGATCTTGGTACCTCCTAGGCACCAGGAATCCCAGTCAAGGTGGTGTGGGGCGGGATGAGGGTTCAGGAACCGAATTTCCCCTTTATGCTTCCTTTTCGACTTTGTCTATCAAGAACTATCTGTATGTGGCAAGTGATGGGTGGAGCTGAACGTGAGCAATTGAATGGACTGGTTCTCAGTTGTGAGGGTCTTGTACAAATATGAGATTTCCACCCTTTTCCCCCCTTTCCTGGTCAAATTAAGAACTATCCAGCTGACAATCACAGCTTCCCAGCATTGTCAAGAAAATGGAGGCAGGTGCCTTTAATCTAAACAGCAGTTGGGTTTCTTTACAAGTGGAGGCATCGCCTTGCTCAGATCCTGGAGCTATGGACTATATGCTGTCCAAAGCTAACCACAGTCTTCCCCAAATTCACTGACAGACAGGACACTGAGTTACCTGGCAATGAAACTCCTGAACACAAACCCCTTACTTTTCTGTAAGGCAAAGATCTTGTCCTTCTACTTGGAAAGGAAGTTACAATTCATCTTCCGGTGTAAATAGGACTTGGTCTTCCTGCAGATTAATCTATGAATCCATGGCATGGTGAGAACCCAGCTGAGAAAGACCCCAAAGGTCTAAAATTTCATTCACTTTTCATGCGAGTAAAGTGATGGGAACTTGGTGTACAAATTGAGGGTTTGAAACTCTTTCTTTTTTGAGACAAGGTCTTGCTCTTGCCCAGGCTGGAGTTCAGTGGCACAAATATGGCTCACTGCAGCCTCAACCTCCTGGGCTCAAGCAATCCTGTTGCCTCAGCCTCCCATGTAGCCGGGATCACAGGTGTGTGCCAGCATACCCAGATAATTTTTATTTCCTTTTTTGTAGAAACAGTAGTCTCACTTTGTTGCCCAGGCTGGTCTCAAACTCCTGGGCTCAAGTGATCTTCCTGCCTTGGCCTCTCAAAGTGTTGGGATTACCGACATGAGCCTCCATGCCCAGATGGATGAGTGTTATAAACTTTTTTTTTTTTTGAGGTGGAGTCTCTCTCTGTCGCCCAGGCTGGAGTGCAGTGGTACGTACAATCTCTGCTCACTGCAACCTCTGCCTCCCAGGTTCAAGAGATTCTCCTGCCTCAGCTTCCCAAGTAGCTGGGATTACAGGCACGTACCACCATGCCCAGCTAATTTTTTGTATTTTTAGTAGACAGAGGGTTTCACCATGTTGGTCAGGGTGATCTTGAACTCTTGACCTTGTGATTTGCCCGCCTGAGCCTCCCAAAGTGCTGGGATTACAGGCATGAGCCACAGCGCCCGGCCGGTGAGTGCTGAAAATTCTTAAACCCATGTACACACAAACTGTGCAGTCTGGGTCACCTCATTTGTGACTGTGCTTACAGACAGAGAAGAGAAAGTATTTTGTGAGAGAGTTTGTTTTCCACAGAACCAAAAGGGTATCACAGGGAAGAAGTCAGCACTGCCGACGAATTAGATTATAATAATCTTTAAGGTCATGAGGCAATGTCTTGCTCATCTTTGTGAACCCACAAATTATAGCATAGCAAAGGCACACAGGTATTTGTTGAACAGATCATAATATAAAGAGTTGCTATTTGCCGTTTGGATTTCATAAAGAAGGATGAGGGAGAGAATCAACAAAAACTACACAGGAATGAAGGCTATTGAATAAGTTATTCCTAACCTGTGAAGTCTGCATAACAATGAGTTTCTGGTCAAATTCAGTTGTCTCACTGGAATGACTGCAGATTTCCCATTATTCTTCTCAGTACTAGTGGTAGTATTCTTGACAGTGGAATATGCAGCCATCATTATTACACTTAACGTGCACCAGTTAGGCCATTTATGTACATTTTTGCTAAACTTTGCAATAACAAGATGGACCATTTTACAGTTACAGAAACTGAGGTTACAGTTGCTGAAGGTCAGAGGATCCTGCCTCCACGGATAGTGGCAATTTCTTCACTGCCAGGCAGTGAAACTGGTAAAACAGTCTCCAGTTGTTCAGCTTTATTAGTTTGCTGAGAACTTGATTCGAGGACACATGGTAATGGTTTTGGCAATCATTAGGAGATCTGATGCTTTGAAGAAAGCAGTGTTTTTGAACAAGCAAACAAATTAAATAACCTTTATCTTAAGCCATCTTGGGCAGTTTGCACGACAACAACAACAAAAATGTGTTCTAGTTTTGAAGTTCCCCTGTAATTTGGGCTGAATGCATCTTCTCAAGCCCCATAAATCATACTAATATTAGTCCTGCACGACAGTATGAGGCAAGGCGTAGACTGGCTAAGAGATGATCCTCATTCTTAAGGAGCTTGCAGGCTAGTTGGAGAGAAAGGACATATTCATTAAGCAATTTTAGAATATTTGAACGCTAAGGCCATTTTTAAAAACCCTGAAAATAAGGGTTTTTGCTAAAGCAGAGTCAGAGCAGACTTGGTGGAATAAACTGGAAACAAACCTCAAAGGACCTTCTGGCTGGTGCTGGCTGGGGAAGAAAGGTTCCATGGGCTCAGTGGCCTCAGGGCAGTGTGAAGTTCTGCTGCCTGGGATGTGCAGGAAGTTTGAATATTCTGCTGGGATTCCTGCTGGAAATCAAAGTAAAATTCTTTTTAAATTATTATTATTATTATTATTTTGAGACGGAGTCTCGCTCTGTTGCCCAGGCTGGAGTGCAGTGGTGCAATCTTGACTCACCACAACCTCTGCCTCTTAATCCTCAGGACCTTGGGGCCAGATCCTGACCTTCTAGACTTGGCCTGAGCCCCAGGCCTGCCCCTTCCCTGGCCCTCCTTCTGTTTCTTCCTCTTCTCTCCACAAGGTGGAAAGCAGGAGGCAGGACTTCTGAGAGCTGAGGGGGCTGAGGTCTCAGGTGATGATTGGAGAAGTCTCGGTATTCAAGGAATATAACCTTGGGTGGTGGGAAAAGGCTTCCCTCCTTCCCTCTGTGATGATCCCTTAGTATAAAACACCTGATTCCTCTCTCTCTCCCTTACTTTCCTCCTCTCACCCCCTTATTGATCTGTAAAATCATGTCTAATCACCGGCCTACACCATCGAAAGAATATCTTCTCATTTTCTAGAGAACTTTCACTCTCCTTTCTGGTTACACCTTCAACCTCTCTGGGCTCCACCAACTTGCCCCAGGTTGCTCCAACTCTAGCAGCAGCTTCCCTCCTCTAGTAAGTTCCCTGCGGGCATGACCCTCTGTCTTGGCATACAGAACCCACTGCCATCCCCTCCTGGGGCTGTCACAAGTAAGTAGACCTAGTCATTGTATGAGATTTGGTTTCACAGGCTGCCAGAAGGAACTTTAGTTCCCTTCCTGAATATGGAGGGAAACAATTCACACACAATCACAACTTACACTCCAGAGCATGAATTCAGTTGCCTCATGGGCCACAAAAGGCCATGCTCTCACACCCACGTCGGGAGCCCTCCCTGGCTTTATCCCTGTGTTACCAGCTGGCTACATCTACTTGTGAACTTTCTAAACTGTAAAAAGAAGATGAACCAGGCAAATGGTCTTGGGGAATTTTGGCCAGATATTCACGATATAAGTGCCTTGTAAACCCAAGAACTTGTAGAGATGCATGGAATATACTAGAACTTTACCTACACATTCACATGCGCTGACACTAAATACATGTGATGAAGAAACTCAGAACTACATCAATTAGCAACCCAATTCCACATGTGGATTCAAAAAAAATGTTCGTCCAGTCCACAATAGCACTCCAGCAACTGTCTTCCTGTGAATATCGTCCCAACACAGGGCAGGTAGGGAGCAGGAAAGAAAAAGGCGCATGGTTCCCGGATGCTTGCAACCTTTCTATACAGGCGTGTTTGCTAATAAACCTGACAATAGAAATATGCAGGCATTATACAAAATATGTTGTGATTCAAACCTGGATGAGCACTTGGGAGGCAGGGCCATTGTATGTCCCAGCTGTAGAAGGCTCTTGACAGTGTTACCAGCCAGTGCATCCCAATACCTATGGATTGGAACCTAGAAACTTCTTAGCAAGGCTGGGCGCAGTGGCTCACACCTGTAATCCCCATGCTTTGGGAGCCCGACGCAGGTAGATCACTTGGGGGGTCAGGAGTTTGAGACCAGCCTGGCCAACATAGTGAAACCCCTGTCTCTACTAAAAATACAAAAATTAGCTGGGCATGGTGGCAGGTTCCTGTAATCCCAGCTACTTGGGAGGCTGAGGCAGAAGAATTAATTGCTTTCACCTGGGAGGCAGAGATTGCAGTGAGCCAAGATCATGCCACTGCACCCCAGCCTGGGCAACAAAGCAAGACTTTGTCTAAAAAAAAAAAAAAGACAAAACTTCTTAGCAAATGGAATGATCCCTCCCTTCGGCCTCTGCATCCCAGGTATCATGGGTGCTCATGAAGGAGAAGGATGTTCTTTTTTTTTTTTTTTTTTGAGATGAAGTCTCACCCAGGCTGGAATGCATTGGCACATCTCAACTCACTGCAACCTCTGCCTCCCAGGTTCAAGCGATTCTCCTACCTCAGCCTCCCTAGTAGCTGAGACTACAGGTATATGCCACCATACCCAGCTAACTTTTGTATTTTTATAGAGATGGGGTTTTACCATGTTGGCCAAGCTGGTCTTGAACTCCTGACCTCAGGTGATGCTATGAAGGAGGAATTATTTCCATGTAGCAGGTAGGGAAACTGAGGTTTGGAGAGGTGAAGTGATTTTCCCAAGCTCACACGGTTACATGAAACCAGGTTTCAAATCCAGCTCTTCTGTGACCTCCCAAGTCCTTTCTCTAGACGTCCCTTCCACCTAGTCCCGCCACCTGCTATTGCTGGGCCCTTTGAACATTCTTTATATGGAAGACATTTTCCTATAAACAAAATAATTATTGAAAAGATTTTGCATCTTTCACAGACCAGGCACCAATGGCTTTATCAAGGAAGAGGAGGCCAAACCTGAGGAGATTTACAGTCAGCCCAGAATCATACAGTGTGAGAGCATCTGGGGACATGAGCAGACAGAAACCACAGTGGCTGGCAAAAGGGCTGGCTCCCGGGGGAGCAGGTAAGGACCCAAGTCTGTGGCACCCTGGTCCTCGGAGCAGAGGACTGGCTTTTGCTGTTACCCAGTGAATTCTTCAGGGGTTTTAGATACTTGCACTTTTAAGTGAATGGGGGCGTGTACCTTAAAATGAAACAGTTTTAAAAGCAAACTGTGTGATTTTAGGGGGTTTTTTCCTCCAAGAGAGGCTGGTGGGAAAAGGGAAGGCAGGATGGGGTGGGGGTGGGGTTATCTTTTTCTCTCCTATAACTCCATGAGCGTGCCTGGTTTTGAGTGGACCCCAGCTGTACAGCTGCTCTGGAGGGCATTTGGGTGGTGGATGGTAGGGGCTGGGGAAGGCGGAGAAGCAGGTCTACAGTTCTGGGGGATGTCCCACCTGGTGCTGGTTTCCACTCAGTTCTTGGGATGGGGGAAGATGCATGTTTGTGGGTGACAGGCTCCTTACCTCCCACATTGATCTTCTCCCCTCTGACCCAGGGCACCAAACTCAGCAAGGTCACAATGTGTGAGAAATACACAACATTGGGAGGATCTATGCTTTATTCTCAAACATTGGTTTGGTGGATCACCCCCTTGGGACTCATGGAAAGCAACACTTCACAGTCAACCTGGCCACGGACCCGTTCTTTCTCTTAGGAAACCACCGAGCGTCATACTTTGTCATGAACAACGAACACAGTTGCCTTTGTTTTATTATTTTTATTTATTTTGAGACAGAGTCTCACTCTGTTGCCCAGGCTGGAGTGCAGTGGCACCATTTCAACTCACTGCAACCTCTGTCTCCTGGGTTCAAGCAATTCACATGCCTCAGCCTCCCAGGTGGCTGGGACTACAGGCGCTCACTACCACACCCAGCTAATTTTTTGTATTTTGGTAGAAACAGGGTTTCACCATGTTGGCCAGGCTGTTCTCAAACTCCTGGTCTCAGGTGATCCACTTGCCTTGGCTTCCCAAAGTGCTGGGATTATAGGCGTGAGCCACAGCACCTGGCCTGCCTTTGTTTTTAAATGTGATGTAGATGGTTATGGACATACACAAATATAGAAGAACATGTTAGCATTTTGATGGCTTGGAATCTGCATATATGAATCTGCAGCAAGGACATGTCCACAGGGGTCCCAGTAATCAAATACCTTCTTCCGGGAAGGGCATGAGTTTTAAGGCAGCCTTCAGCTCTAATGCCAGCTCTCCCTCTTAGCAATGGCATCTTGGGTGCTAAAGTAGCCACTCTGGGCAACAGTTCCTTTATCTGAAAATAAGGACAATGAAATCTACCTCATTGCATTGTTATAATAACTAAGTAAAATAATACACGGGCCAGCACCCAGACAATAGGTCCACACGGTGGGCACTGAACTCTTGATAGTTTCTCTTCTGCCAACCACCCTTAACGAACTGTCAAATATTATTTGAAAGGTAAGGTTCGCTGGGCAGGGTGGCTCACACCTGTAATCCCAGCACTACAGGAGGCCAAGGGGGAAGGATCACTTGAGTCCAGGAGTTTGAGACCAGCCTGGCCAACATGGTGAAACCCCAGCTCTATAAAAATAAATACAGAAATTAGCTCAGGAGATCGAGGCTGCAGAGCCCTGTGAACATGTCACTGCACTCCAACCTGGGCAACAGAGTGAGACACGGTCTAAAAAAAAAAAAAGAAAGAAGGGAAAACAAAGGTGAGCTTCTTGAACCACAAAATGTTCCTTGACGCATGGGACTCATATGATGGGACAGGGATGACTCCTGTCTGCACCCGGGAGTCATCCCCATCATCCTGTGATCTGATGAAAATTCATCCCGACATTCCATTATCCCCCCAGCTCCTTATCTCCCCCAGTTATTTCCTCATAAGTCCCCACTCTAGTTCTTTTCTCACATTCTCAAGTGCTTTGCACAAAATGGAGTAGAAGCCAGGTATTTGAATTGAATCAATGAAAGATTCCAAGCAAATGTAACAGAGATAACATGCAGAAAGCTCTTGCAAATCCATAAGAAAAACATGAATACCTAATAGAAAAATAGGGAGGGAGGCCGGGCACACTGGCTCACGCCTGCAATCCCAGCACTTTGGGAGGCCGAGGTGGGCAAATCACCTGAGGTCAGGAATTTGAGACCAGCCTGGCCAACATGGTGAAACCCCATCTCTACAGAAAATACAAAAATTATCTGGGCGTGGTGACACATGCCTGTAATCCCAGCCACTCAGGAGGCTGAGGCAGGAGAATCACTTGAACTAGAGAGGTGGGGGTTGCAGGGAGCCCAGATTGTGCCACAGCACTCCAGCCTGAGCGACACAGTGAGACTTCATCTCAAAAAGAAAAAGAAAAAAAAAATAGTTTCACTGTTTTATTCACAGATGAAATACATGTGGCTAATAAACATTTTTTTAAAAGTTCATCTGGAAACAATATAGGTCATTTTTTTAAAAAGTTCAACCTCAGAAGGTAATAAATGTAAACCTACATGACATAAATTTGGCCTACCAACTTGACTAAGGTTTTTAAAATGATACATAATACTAGTAGTGAAAATAACAACGAACATTCCTGGGCTCTGTTGTGTCTGTGCTGCTGACGTGGATTGCCAGTGACAGCTACAAGAGAGACGCTTTCATAGCCTCTACCTATTGGGTCATTTGGTAAAAACTCTCTGGAAAGGAAGTTGGCAACATGTGTCAAAGCCTCTTGCAAGTTCCTATCTTTTGACCTAGCAATTTCACTCCCACGGATCTAGTCTAAGTACGATAGATAGTCAAAGATGGATGAGCAAGGATATTTATCACATTGCAATCGCTGCCAGTGAAACCTCAAAGCAACCTATGTACCCAACAATAGGGTTAACAAATTAAAATATATAACTTTATACTATAATTAATATCATGTTCTTAAAGAATAACTAGGCCAGGCATGGTGGCTTACGCCTATAATCCCAGCACTTTGGGAGGCTGAGGTGGGGGGATCAGGATGTCAGCAGATTGAAACCATCCTGGCTAACATGGTGAAACTCTGTCTCTACTAAAAATATTTTTTAAAAAATAGTCAGATGTGGTGGCACATGCCTGTAGTCCCAGCTACTCGGGAGGCTGAGGCGGGAAAATCACTTGAACCCGGGAGGCAGAGGTTGCAGTGAGCCAAGATCGCACCACTGCACTCTAGCCTGGGTGACAGAGCAAGACTCCATCTCAATCAATCAATCAATCAATAAAGGCATAATGCTCATAATAAAATATTTAAAGAAGAAAGCAAGACATAAAATTGTATGTACACAAATATTTCAATTTTGTTTTCTAAGAAATATTTCTGCCTGTAATTCCAGCTACTCAGGAGGCTAAGGCAGGAGAATTGCCTGAACCCAGGAGGCGGAGGTTGTGGTGAGCCGAGATCGCGCCATTGCACTCCAAAAAAAAAAAAGAAAGAAATATTTCTAGATAAGAGAGCCCCAGGTTATAAATTCAGATGCCTTCAGGGAGCAGATGGATATAGCAGGAGAGATCCATAGCAGGTTATGGAGCCTGTGCTAAGCTACAGTACACATGTTCCACCTAAAGGCAGTAAATTCATTGCTCAAGTACTGAGCCATGGCCAGATGTAGTGTGGCTCATGCCTATCATCCCAGCTTGGGAGGCCAAGGCGGGAGGATTGCTTGAAGCCAGAAGGGCAAGACCAGCCTGGGCAACAAAGTGAGACACCATATCTAGAAAAAAAAATTGTATTAGCCAGGTGTGGTAGCATGCACCTGTAGTCCCAGCTAAGGCAGGAGGATTGTTTGAGCCTAGGACTGTACTCCAGCGTGGGTAACAGAGCAAGACCCTGTCTCAAAAGAAGAAAGAAAAGAAAGAAAGAGGAAAGGAGGAAGGGAGGGAGGGAGGGAGGGAAGGAAGGAAAGAGGAAGAAATGAAGGAAGGAAGGAGGGAGGGAAGAAGGGAAAGAGGGAAGGAGGGAAGGGGGAGGGAGGGAAGGAGGAAAGAAGGGAAGGAGGGAGGGAAAAAAATGCTGAGCCAAAGCGCAATTGCAGGATGAAAGCAGCCCTGGGGGCTTGAGTATGCAACCCACCCCTGAGTTCCAGAGCAATAGCAATGATCATCTGAGTTTTGGATTATGGGGGATTTTTATTTTCTTCTTCATCCTCTTCTGTAGTTTCCAAATTTTCTTCGATATTCATAAACCACTTTTATAACCAGAAGGAAAAAAATAAAAGTATATGGCCGTTGGAATGTAGGAAACTATTGGTCAAGCACACCAAGAAGTCGAGACCAAAGGCATAGTCTTAGGGCAGACAGATGCTTGCTCTGGTTCACTCCACTGCCCTAGAACTCCTGGAGATGGCAGGCACTTCACTCACAGCTGGAGCCCAGGGTCTCAGAGAAGCATTTGCAGCATCTGCAGGGCCTGGTCTATGAATAGCACATCCCTGGCATACCAATGTGCCTGTCTATTCCCAGCCCTAGAGCTCCTGAAATCTGCTCTCTATTTGATAGACATAAAAAAAAATATGGTTAAAATAGCATAAATCAAGAATGGCACAGTCTGCCACCTTTAGGGGAAACACACACACAGGCACGCACATGCACACACACACACACACACACACACACACACACACTGCAGAGAAGCTCTGATTGAATTTTTAAAGAGGAAGACCATTGTGGCGACAAGGCAAGGGTGAGGATGCACCCCCTGTATGTTTCAGGAAGCCACAGGAGCCACAGCACAGCGCATATCCTGGAACTTCTCCTGCCCCCCAGGCCAACTTCACCCCGTGACAACTCGGTCGCCTCTGTGAGAGAAGCTAATGGCTCCCGTTGAGCTTCCAGTTTCTGTTTTTCAGAGCGGCCCTTGCTGATTCTTTTGCCCATTGGATGTTTCCCCTTCTGGGGATGGGTCACGAGTATTCAGGGAATGACAAAAAGGTTCAGGTTCCAGCGGTGTGAGCTCACCTCTGAGGCCCTCCATCAAATTCAAAACAAAAGTCATCTGCCAGAGCCGACACTGCCACCTCCTCTAGATCCCTTTTCTGTGTTGTTGTTTTATGTATGTATTTATTTATTTAATTTTCTTTGAGATGGAGTCTGGCTGTGTTGCCCAGGCCGGCATGAAATGGTGAGATCTTGGCTCACTGCAACCTCTGCCTCCCGGGTTCAAGTGATCCTCCAGCCTCAGCCTCCCAAATAGCTGGGATTACAGGTACGCACCACTGCACCTGGCTAATTTTTGTGTTTTTTGTTTGTTTGTTTTGTTTTTGAGATGGAGTTTCGCTCTTGTTACCCAGGCTGGAGTGCAATGGTGCGATCTCATCTCACTGCAACCTCCGCCTCCTGGGTTCAGACAATTCTCCTGCCTCAGCCTCCTGAGTAGTTGGGATTACAGGCACGTGCCACCATGCCCAGCTAATTTTTTGTATTTTTAGTAGAGACAGGGTTTCACCATGTTGACCGGGATGGTCTCGATCTCTTGACCTCGTGATCCACCTGCCTCAGCCTCTCAAAGTGCTGGGATTACAGGCATGAGCCACCACGCCCGGCCCTAATTTTTGTATTTTTAACAGAGATAGGGTTTTGCCATGTGGGCCAGGCTGATCTCAAACTCCTGATCTCAAGTGATCTGCCCACCTTGGCCTCCCAAAGTGCTGGGATTACAGGCCTGAGCCACCGTGCCTAGTCCCTTTTCCTATCTTAAAAAATTATCAGAATCCAGTTGCTTACATAGAAGCATTTGTTCCCCAAAATGGGGGTTGGCCCAGTCGCCAGGAGCTCCCCTGCTGTACTTCCACAGCCAGATACTCAAAGCATCCTTGAATTGCTGCTGCCTCTCTTACTGGGGTTTATAAAACCCACGAGGGGCCTGATAGGAGAGCTTAACTGATTTCTAGAAGAGCTGATGAGTAAAGATTCGTACTGCGTTTCTGAGTGTCCCATGCAGTTAACAATAAAAGAAGCTGCCAGAGTGTTAGGACATTAGAGACTCTCTCTGGTGCCTCCCTGTAAGGAGCCCCAATTAAAGTGAACCAGCACTGACTTGGCCCTTGGCGGAGCCCAATGCTCTGAGAATTTGCATTTCACCAGCCCGAGCTGTTATCAACACAGAGCTTCCAGGGCCCGTGGAGTCCCGTCCACTCTACAGGGTGAACCACTTTAGAAATGGAATGATAAAAAGAGCATCATCTCATCATATCCCACACAATAGCAGCGTGGAGAACAAAGCTAGGGGGAGGCCAATGTCAGGAGGGAATAAAGGTAAGTGGCATCAGGGAAGTACTGTCAGTTTCCTTCTCACATCGAGAGGGTAAAAGACCCTCAACGGCACACAGCATACACACACCGCAACGAATTCAATGGCTTTTCATTTTCGCAAGGAAATTGGAAAGCCAGCTAGTTTCTCAAGGGCTAGCACAGGGCAGTGGTTAAGAACACAAACCCTAGTATCAAGCAGGCATGGATTCAAATGTTCACTCCATCGCTTACTGGAAATAGGATCTTGGGCGAGTTATGTGACTGCCCTAGGCCTTGGTACCCTCAGTTATAATGTTGTATGATTGTGGTGCCTATTTCACAGGGTCGTGTGGCTTAAGAGTGTGTGTGTGTGCGCACACACACACATTGTGAGAGAGAGATACAGTTAGCATGTCCTGGCTGGTTCAGTGATTCTCTGTAGGAATTCATAGTAAGGATTCTATGGTAGCCAGAAGTTACAAAATTGACCAGGGGCTAGTGACAAAGAGAAGATAATGATTTCATGAGAGATTTGTAATTTTTATTTTCACTAAATAGTAAACATGACCAAAATCCTCAGTGTGCCGGGGTGCAGGCTCCTAGAGCCTTCCTCCTGATCTGCCAAGATACACCATTCTTCTCTTACGTTCTTGTAAAGCTGTGTGGGAAGCAGGTGTCATAAATGTATGCTGAATGAATTTGGATGAGAAGGGACTGGGTTTTGTAGAAGTCATTCCCAGAGTGCTGGTTTCCCCTTTCAGTACGTATGGAACAAAAACCAGTATCTAGGGCAAGGTTTTCCCATCATCAGTCCTGACTGGCTGGGCCTGGGCCAGTCTTCCAGGAGCTTCTGAAGAAAGAATCTGTATCCTCGGGATTACCCCATTTCCCTAGGACCACAGGTGTCCAAAGGAACACGAGGGGCAGTAAAATGAAGCCTGCTGGCCTCTGCTCCTCTTATACCTCCAGCCATTTTGACCGTGCCTATCTTCTTCTTTAGTCTTGTTTGTTGCTTTTATTTATTTATTGAGATGGAGTCTCACTCTGTCATTATCTTCTCTTTGTCACTAGCCCCTGGTCAATTTTGTAACTTCTGGCTACCATAGAATCCTTACTATGAACTCCTACAGAGAATCACTGAACCAGCCAGAGACATGCTAACTGTATCTCTTTCACACACACACACACACACACACACACACACTCTCTCTCTCTCTCTCTCTCTCTCTCTCTCTCTCTCTCTCTTAAGCCTCACAACCCCTGGGAAACAGGCACCACAATCATACAACATTATAACTGAGGGTACCAAGGCCTAGGGCAGTGACATAACTTGCCCAAGATCCTATTTCCAGTAAGTGATGGAGTGAACATTTGAATCCACGCCTGCTTGATACTAGGTGAGATACCAGGTGGGAGGGCAGTGGCACGATCTCAGTTCACGGCAACCTCTGCCTCCCGGGTTCAAGCGATTCTCCTGCCTCAGCCTCCCAAGTAGCTGTGACCACAGGGGCATGCCACCACACCCGGCTAATTTTTTTGTATTTTTAGTAGAGATGGGGTTTCACCGTGTTAGCCAGGATGGTCTCGATCTCCTGACCTTGTGATCCACCTGCCTCGGCCTCCCAAAGTGTTGGGATTACAGGCATGAGCCATGGCACCCAACCTGTTTGTTGCCTTTAAAGGGCAATTTTGCACTTGGTGCCAGAGGCCTTCCATCCATGGGCCCTTTTATTGGAATGATAAATGTGTCTTTTCTCAATGCAGATCAAGTAGTTCGACAAGAAGGCCTGATGTGTGACACTAAGCTGAAGAGGCCAACTCAAGAGAGAAGAAACTGGCTCCCATTCTCACAGCCAATGACTGAGCACCCCCCTGATAGAGCCAAGAAAGGAGGCCTGAGTGTTCCTTCCCAGAGAGAGCTGCATCCAGCCCTGCCCCAGGCCTGCCGAGGAACAAAGAGCCCTCAAGTATTAAGTGAGTCCCCGGGGCCACTACTTATACCCAGCACCACACGAGGGCCAAGAACAGCATCATTTAGGTCCCGAGATGAGGATTTTTATTCCATTTTATCATTGAACAGCAGACGAGAAAGTCATGACACTGAAAGGGAAACCGATGTTGGAGAACGTCTGTGGGTTGGTATGCACTCGCCCCGTTCCCCTTCCAATCACGAAGGAAGTAGGTTTGGGGGGACGTTAACCCCTCAGGCCGAAAATAAAAATTTTGAAGAAAATACTGAAAATGGCAGAGGTCATTCTCTAAGAAGAAGTGCGCCCGGGCAGGGCTCACTAAGAATAAGCAGTGCAACGGAGCCAGCAACAGAGCGGCATTCTGTCGCACAAAGGTTGTCCCAAGACCCCAGGCTGTCTGATAGGGCATCTGCTAAAGAGGAGGACAGAGGTGGCAGTGAAAAGGCAAAAAAGAGCCCCCTTTTGTGGGACTCCCCATCCAAACCCAGACAAGAGGATGGTCTCAATACTGAAAATGCATGGAGTGACTGTGTTTCTATGGAACATAGGCCCGGTACCCATGATTCTGAAAGAGATTGGCAAGACTATTTAAGCAGCTCTAGACGTTCTCTTGACTACTTTTGTTCTGGCAGACCAGCATCTCCAGGATCATCAATGAATTCATCTTATAACCCTCCTGTATCATTCATGCATTCTGCTCTGAGAGATGATTGTCCCGTAGACTTGTCAATGTCATTGACTTCAATTCACAGCTCAGACTCAGAGGGAAACTCAAGGTTTCATGTTCACCGACCACTGTCTCCCATTAGAAATAGAAATGCATTTGCCAGTGCTGAAAATCACAATTATTTCCCAGTAAACAGTGCACACGAATTTGCTCTCAGGAGAAGAGCAGAAGATATTACTTTAACAAGCCAACCTCAGGGGGCTCTACTACATACAGACCTCTTACTAAATCCACGGGGCCATTTGTCCTTAGTAGATTCCTTCAATTCCTCTCCATCAAGAATGAACTCAGAAGTCCATTTGCATGTGTCTGGGTCCTTGCAAGAAAATATACCATTTACTTTCTTTGCAGTATCTGATTTCCCAAATCAAAATGATAGTGGGAACAGAATGGCAGCCTCTGGTTTCACAGATGAAAATGAGATCAGTAAGATAAAAGCAGACCCTGAGAAACTCAAGAAATTGCAAGAAAGGTGAGGACTTTTCATCATTATATATTTTTTCCATTTTCCCAAGGCCGAAATGAGCATTGCTTTCATTAGAGAGCCAGGGGAATTTTAAGTCATAAATGGTTCCTTCCTTGACATTTTAGTGGTCGCTTATTTTGAGAAAATTGTCTCTGTTTTGTTGCTCTTAAAACATAATGGATTTATTAAAAAAAAAAAAAAAGTTTGGTGTTCCTGATCAGTTTCTTTCATATTCCCGAAGTGTTTTTCCTTGAATACCACACTTCAAGGTAAGTTTGCTGGGTATAAGGATTTCTGACTGTTCCATAGGGCTTGTTCTCTCCAGCAATGAAGAACCAAGATTTCTTATAAAAAGGTTGCTATCTCCCTAGAGAATGAACCATTCTTCACTTGAAGTTCACAGCTCTCCCTCACGAGACTTACCCCAAACCCAACCAATAGTTCTAGAATTTGAACCTTGCAACTAAAAGACCGTTCTCAGTTACCATAGTTACCTGGGTTCTCTGAAGGGCCATGCCAGGGTAACTGATGCTTCTATTTTATGTGCTCTTTTTCATGCATGAGAGAAAGAGAAATAAGATCTTTTTTTGAATTGCCCTTTTCTTTGATCTTTCCTTTTGGGTGAGATGATTTGGGGATATTTCACAGCTAGGAAATTTGATACTTTGTAAAGCCATCATTAAACACCATGTCAGGATTCTACCATTTCATTTCTGATAGGTGTTTACCATGCTCTGATCTTGGTTTACTGATCTGGAAATTGATTCTTGGAATGTGAGCCCTCCTTGTGTATATTAGCATGACTCATCTGGGCCACGATTTAGAAATGTAAAAAGGAGAGGAAGGTGGAACATAGGATGCATACGTGTTCCTATTAATAAATATCATTTATCCAACTCCAGTAATGAGGTAACTTTCTAGTTAGCAGTACATTTGCTTTTCCACATTAAGCTACCGGAAGACCAACCCAAGGTTACAGGGCAAAAGACCTTACACCCACCAATCCTCACCTCCCTGGAAACACAGCTTCAGACCTACTTGTCAGAAGTCTAAGCTTCTACCATCCCAAAGTGATGCCCTTGAACTAAAAATAATTCCTTTGAAAATGCATTCACTTCCAGGCACGGTCTTGCATTAAACAGCTATTATTCGTGTACCTATTAATAGTTTACCCAGACACTCTCTTTTTTCTGTATATAATAAACCTTATGCTTTTCTTATTATTTCAAATTTGTTCCTTTTGGGAAATATTAAAAATATAGACTTAAAAGAAAAATCACCTGTAACCCTATTATCTAAAGATAAACTGTTAAAACTTTGTTTCTAGTCTTCTATATTTGTATATAAATGCAATTTTTAGTATCTGTTCATATTGTTTTATAATATGACTTATTTTAATATTTAATCCCATTTCTCAATCACTTATACTCTTTTAAAGTTTTCCCTCAGTTATTTATTTTAATACACATAAATTAGTACATAACATATGTACACTCCAGAGAATTTTCAAAACGCACACACATCACACACAAACCCAGACTTCCCTGTGCCCACTGTCCAGCTAACAGGACATTCTTCACACACTGGAGCCCTCCCAAGCCCCTCACCCACCCAATCTTTTCATCATCCCCCTTTCAGCTCCCCACACCCACCCTGACCATTCCTGTATTGCATTTATCATCTCTTTGCTTTTTGTTGTGTTTTGTTTTGGGGTTTCTTGCTTTGAGATTTTACCATATGTTTATATGTTTAGAAATGTAAAACAACTCGCTGTAGCCTGCGCCTCTGGGTTTAACTGATTCTCATGTCTCAGCCTCCCATGTAACTGGGATTACAGGCGCGCACCATCACACTTAGCTAATTTTTGTATTTTTTTTTTTTTAGACGGAGTTTCACCCTTGTTACCCAGGCTGGAGTGCAATGGCGCGATCTCTGCTCACTGCAACCTCCGCCTCCTGGGTTTAGGCAATTCTCCTGCCTCAGCCTCCTGAGTAGCTGGGATTATAGGCACGTGCCACTATGCCCAGCTAATTTTTTGTATTTTTAGTAGACACGGGGTTTCACCATGTTGACCAGGATGGTCTCGATCTCTTGACCTCGTGAGATCAAGAGGCCGCCTCGGCCTCCCAAAGTGCTGGGATTACAGGCAATTTTTGTATTTTTAGTAGAGACAGAGTTTTGCCATGTTGGCCAAGATAATCTCGAACTCCTGACCTCAAGTGATCCACCCGTCTCAGCCTCCCAAAGTGCTGGATTACAGGCATGAGCCACTGTGCCCATTCAGTGTTTCTAAACAATATGTTGTGTATACTTACGAACTCTGAGGAAGTGTTTGACTCTGTAGAAACAGAATCTCTATTCTTCTGCAATTGCTCTTTCCCCTTACGTCCTTAGTGAGATACATCTTTGTTGATATATTTGGCTTTAGTTTATTCTTTTCACATTACAAAGTATTCTGTCATATAGATATACCACAATTTAGCCAGTCTGTCAATGGACATTTGGGTCCTGTATTGTTTTCTGCAAATGGTATTGCATCAACATTCTCATAAATGTCTCCTGGCACATATGGAAGAGTTCTCTGGGATCTTCTCTAGGAATGGAAGAGCTAGGCTGATGGGCTGGTGGGCTGGTGGGCTGGTGGGCTGGTGGTGAACACATTTTTCACTATACTAAGTAATGCCAATTTAGTGTTAAAACAGTAATATCTAACATTATACATCCTTAACAACGTTTGTTTTGACTGGCTTTTCGAATTTGCCAGTCTGATGGGAATAAAATGGTATCATAGTTTTAGTTTGCATTTTCATGACTGAATGAAGTTAAACATTTTATATGCTATTTTAAATGTTAAATGACCATTTGTGTTTTCCATTCTGTGAAATATTGATGTTCTTATTTTTTTTATAGAGATGGGGTCTCACTATGTTGCCCAGGCTGGTCTCAAACTTTTGGCCTCCAGCAATCCTCCCACCTCGGCATCCCAAAGTGCTGGGATTACAAGCATGAGCCACTTTGCCTAGCCAAATATCTATGTCTTTTGCTCATTTTTCTTTTAGAGTATTTATACTTTATTTTTTAATTCTTTTCTATCTTTGGCCTATTAATTTAATCTTTTGACAGTTGTGTGTTAGAAATCTCTTTTCCCAATTTGTACTTTTTTTCTTTTTCTTTTTTTTTTTGAGACAGAGTCTTGCTCTGTCACCAGGCGCCAGACTGGAGTGCAGTGGTGCCATCTCAACTCACTGCAACCTCTGCCTCCCGGGTTCAAGCAATTCTTCTGCCTCAGCCTCCCGAGTAGCTGGGACTACAGACATGCGCCACCATGCCCAGCTAATTTTTATATTTTAGTAGAGACAGGGTTTCACTATGTTGGCCAGGATGGTCTCAATCTCTTGATCTCGTGATCCACCCACCTTGGCCTCCCAAAGTGCTGGGATTACCACCACTCCCAGCCGTCTTTTTCTTTATGATGTCTTTTAATGAAAACAAATTCTTAATTTTAACATAGTCAAATGTGTCCATCTTTTTTTTTTTTTTTGGAGACTGAGTCTCGCTCTGTTGCCCAGGCTGGAGTGCAGTGGCACAATCTCAGCTCACTGTAATCTCCACCTCCAGGATTCAAGCAATTCTCCTGCCTCAGCCTTCTGAGTAGCTGGGATTACAGGCATGCGCCATCACACTCAGCTAATTTTTGTATTTCTGGTGGAGACGGGGTTTCACCATGTTGGCGAGGTTGGTCTCAAACTCCGACTCAAGTGATCAGCCCGCCTCAGCCTCCCAAAGTGCTGGAATTACAGGCGCGAGCCACTGTGCCTGGCCCCATCTTCTTTTTGGATTGCAATTTGTATCTTGTTGCCTTGCTTAAGAAATCCTTCTGTTAACCTGATATCATTAGTTATTCTTCCTATTTTCTTGTAAAATTTCTAGTTTTATATTAGGAATTGATGTGAAATGGATTTGGACTTAAATGTGAAAGTGGTTCCTAATATGTGATATGAAGGAAGATTTATTTTTCCCCTTATGAATATGCAATATCCAATTGTTTGTGATATTTCCCTATTGATCTGCACAGCCGTGTCTCCTTCAGAACATGCCTCAACAGGTCTCAGTTCAGGGCTCTCTCTTCTGTCCCACTGGTCTTTAGATGTCTTCTCCTAATCTAATACCATTCTGTCTTAATGTCTGCAGCTTTCGTAAGTTTTGATATGTGATGATGCAAGCCTCCTTCCCTACTGCTTTTAAAGAGTCCTTGACTGTATACTTAAGAATCCACTTGGGATTTTTATTGGAATCGCATTTAATCTATAGACTATTCTGAGAGAACTGACATCTTTGTGATACTGACTTTTTCTTTGATAAACATGGTATGCCTCTCCTTTTGTTTGTGTCATCTTTAATGCCTTTCAGTATAGTGTTGTGATTTTCTTCATAGAAGTTATTTATTTAATTTATCCCTTGGTTCTTGTATGTGTTGTCATTTGCTATTGAAACAATATTTTAAATTCTAATTTTAACTCTTTGTTGCTAAGATATAGAAATCCAACTGACTATATATTTTCTCGGTATTTTTGCCAAAATACAAAATCATTTCAACTGTGAAAAATATTAATAGTTTGATTTCTTTCTTTCTAAACCTTATACTTTTTAATCCTTTCTCCTCTTACAGTTGCATCAATATTGTTGAAGACTGCTTATATTAAATGTGTCTGTTATGATTTGATCAGTCTCCTTTTTGAGCACATTCACAACTAATTACTTAGAAAAACTTCCTAAATGTGTAACTGCTGATGAAAGGAATGCAGAATCTTAAGGTTCTTAATGCATATTGTCAAACTGTCCTTCAGGGAAGTTTTACATGTTAGTAATCTCATCAGCACTTTATGAGAGTCCTCTTTCTCCACACCCTTTCCAGTTCCAGGAATTTCTATGCTTTTTAATGTTTGTCAATAGTGATTCTTGGCTGGGCACAGTGGCTACTCCTGTAATGCTGGCACTTTGGGAGG